ACTCGCTGCAAAGGCCTTTGGGCTCCCCGTGTGCCTGATGGCAGCACTGTGTGGAGGTGGCTCGTGTCTGGCCTGCAGAATGCCTCCTCTCCAGGTGACTATCACCATGAGTGGCATCACCCTTCAAGAAAGCCTGAGTCCCTAAGTCCACACAAAAGCAAAGCCAAATTCTAATACCTAGGGCCTCGGTTCTGGGGAAGAGGCCCAATGCGGACTTGCCAGGTGGCCCTAGCATCTCACCTAGTGAACATTTGGTCTGACCGCGCTGTTTCCAATCACGTTTAACAGACTGGTCTTGCTTTCTCACGGTATCCTTGGAGGCTAGTAATGGTTATGAGCATGAGCTCTGCTTTCCAATCCCAGCTCTGCCACCCCACTCCTCACAACAGGGATTTCATCGCAGGCCCACCATGTAACGTTAGCTCAGATCCATGCACCCATGCATTTGCTGGGCCTGGACTACATTGTTTCCAAACTATGCCAAGCTTGACAATACCCAGCTCCAGAGAAAGCCAATAACCCTAACCTACTGTGAGCTTTGGCATTTTACTAAAACCTTATAGGGTCAGGAGGAAGTGCTGGGCACACAGTATAGACAGACCATTTCACTTGAAAAGAGCTCTCATTCGCCCTGACCAATGTGCTCAGTGGTTAGAGTGTCGGCCTGCAGACTCAAGGGTCCCAGGTTCGATTCCTGTCATGGGCATGTACCCTGGTTGCGGGCACATCCCCAGTAGGAGGTGTGCAGGAGGCAGCTGATCAATGTTTCTCTCTCATCGATGTTTCTAACTCTCTATCCCTCTCCCTTCCTCTCTGTAAAAAATCAATAAAATATATTTTAAAAAAATTTAAGAAAAGAGCTCTCATTAGATACCTCTTAGGAAATCCCTTGCCCAAGTCTCCCAGGACAAGTTATCAAAAGGAGTTCTCCATCTTTCCACCTCCCTTCATCCAGCCTCCCCTCCACCCCAGGATTGTCCCTCCCTTTCCCCACCCTTCCCTCCTCGTTCCTTTCCTAATCTCTCAACCCTTTTTCATTCAGAGCATTTGTGCAGAACTAAACCCAGGAACTCAGCAAGCAACCCAGGCAGCACTCTTCCTCCTAAAAGACTGGCACGGCATAGCTCCTCCGTAATAATCACACAGGCTTCTCCCTGGGGTGCCTGTGTTGGAGTCCTTGATGCAGACCCACCAGTGATGGGGGGAACCAGAGGTTAGGGACACAGACCCTGACAGGGTCAGAGTCCCACTGGCCACTGGGATCTTGAGCGAATCACATCTCTGCACCTCAGTTTCTCCAACTATAAAACGAACACTACATTCATTAAAGATCCGTGACCACTTCCAGGTTTCACATTCAATGGTTTGCGGTCACTATCTTGCAAAACCAAAAAATTATAACCGAAGCATAATTCACGCTCAGTGGTCCTAAAGTCTCTCAGAACCTTGATGACTCAGTCACCATGTTATTTTTTAAGCTCCCATCCTGCAAAAACTTTCTACAATTTGAAGAAAGCTTTGCTTCTGCTGCAGACTCTGTCCAGCCTGCAGTGAGCGTGGAGGTTTTATGGATGCAGACGCCTTCCCCTCAGGGAGCACTGAGAAAACGCTGAGTGCTTTTGTGGAGGGAGGGCTGCTTTTGCATCTCTCATCCTTTTCAATGGGCAAACAGAAATGCCACTGACACCGTGGTCAGAGATTAGACATTACACCGTCACTCGACTTTCACTTTCAGTTCTTCCAGTGTTCCCACCAAAGCACCAAATCGATTCCCAGAAATTGGCACAAAGGGGGGATAAATTGTGGCAGAACATCAAACTCTGCTTGCTTGTGACTTGTTTGCTTAATTCCCTATGAAGTAAAATCCAGATAGTAAAACATAAATAAAATATGCCCAAAGCTGTGTCCTAGCAGATTGAGAGACATGAGCGTCGACGCCTGCACACGCCGTCCCGGCTGAGCTTGCTTTGTCAATGCTCCGATTCTCTGGAAAAAGGTTATCTATCCCCAAAGCCATAAAGCTTCTAACGAGGATAAATAGTGGTAAAAAGTTTCACCCCATGAAAAACAGTCCTCCGTTGTCTGACCTCCCCTCTTAATTGTTCTTAATGGGCGATTTTAAATGAAGGGGGAAGAAAAAGCATAGCACTAACACATGGCAATTATCTGTAATTCTCCATTGGTAATGTTGCTGAATGGGGAGAATAATGCAAATGTGGACAGATGCTGACTAGAGCTGTACAAAGACATTGAAATTAGGGTTATTTTGTACAGTAAGTAACATATGACTAACTTGTAGCTTTTCCAGGGCAGATTTTCATCCTTGGAAATGACAATATGCACCACAGATTGCCGGGAAGGGTAATGAGATGAATTTTCCACGAGGCACGACCCGTGGGAACAGGCAGGGGTGGAGATGTTTAACATTGTGTCCTAAAAGCTGATCGGTGTGGCAGGGACTCGTTTAGCTGCTAATATTTGATGTAAAATTTGGCGATTCTACATCAGCTTTAAAGTGAGATGAGAAATAGACTCCCCAGCCTCCTAGATAGGTTTTCTGGCAACTTAAAAAAAAAAAAAAGACTATAATCCTACCATTTTTAGAGGTACTTTAAAATCAAGCATTATTTTACAGATGAGAGAAAGAAAAACCCAGAGGTTTCACAGCTGTTAGCAAAGCCCACAGGGCTCAGGTGTGGTGGAGGAGGGGGTGGGTAAAGGGGCCTGGGGAGACCTCTGCTCTCTGCCTTACTGATAATTTCATTTTACCTCCAGGAATCAACAGTTCCCTTTATTCTTCTTGACATCAGTAAGTAACCTTTCAGAATTTACTGTGTGCCCCAAAGGGACCTGTGAGCTAAGGTTACTATAATAATTAAGACAAACTTAGCATAGTGAGATTAATCATCTAATGCCTCAGCAATGATACAAATCATCACATTTTTAAGATTTCACGAATCTTCAGTCCAGAAATGTGAGCGATCTGTGGGATTTGTACTCATGTGTGAGGGAGTGATGTGTACTCTGAGCACCAAGCAGCACCTACTGACCCAGGAGCATCAACCAAAAAGGACAGTGTTGGGTTCAGAGTTGAAGATGGACCAGGAAGAAAGATGGGAGCCCAAGTTCCAATGGGTAACATAAAAGGGGAAAAAGACCACGACCCTTGGTAAGTGGGGACTGAAGTACCGGCCTTAGGTCAAGGATCCTAGCCCTGCCTGGAACAACGGCCCAGTGGAAAATCCCAATGACTCTGCACAGGCTCACCACACAGCTCATGTTGGGTTTGCAATGTTGGGTTAACAGTTACCAGCACTAGGAGCCATGTGCTTTTGCTTCAACAAATGATAAGACAACTGAAACTAGAAAAAAGGTGAATCAACTTGTATTTATTTTTATTTTAGTTCTCTTGAAAGTTACTAAAATTAAAAACAGTGCACCTTTGATCTATTCTGGTGGAAAATAAGTTGGGAAAGAAAAGCTGAAAATACTCAAATTACAGCGAACTTTAATTTACATGATGTCTTTTGGCATTGACGGTTCGGAACCCCATTGGAATCCGACTGTGAACTGACCTTTGCCAATTCAGCGCTTCAGAAAATGCCTGCTGGTTATAAATACAAGGAGTGCCCAGCACGCAGAGGGAGGTGAGCGCTAGGGACTTCCAATCCCAAACTTACTACTGGCCACAGTCCAAACCCTGCCAATCAACAGAAGCAAGGAGACACAAAAACAGTCTGTGTTTTTCCAGCCAAAATTTCTTTTTATTTCAGGCACTTAAATGAGAACCATGCAAATTCACTCTGGGGTAGACACAACATTCTTAGGGCAGGATGAGCAAACTTCAGAGTCGGATGGAGAATGAGACCCTTTGAGAAGTGGGGGAACCACAGAACTCACAGCGCTGAAGGGGTCAGGATGCCCCGCTTGGCAGTTCTCATTCCTCATTCACTCAAAGGTGTGGGGGGGGGGGGTACGGTGTTTCACCAGGTAATTTACTAATGAAAAACATTTTTCAACATCCTTAAAGAAAAACACTCAGATGATACTAACCGATTTTGGAGAATGTATTCCTCATGGGGATATTTCCACTGTCAAACCCAACACGCCAGGAGCATGAAAGTTAATGTACACATTCATATATACAAGGATGGCACTCTATGTATTTAGGTATTCTCAGAGTACATTCCCGTAAAGACAATCTGACTGTTTCTACAGAAGGAAACTGTCCATGTTTAACCTCAACAATTTATTGCTACTTTACCAGGAATATTTTTCTCTTGTAAATTTAAATTATTGAGAGCTACTAAGTCAAATTAAGCTTGCTGAAATTTTTCAAATTTGCTTTTACTCATCATTTTTCTCCCTATTAGATAAAATGCCTATGAAACCAACTGGTAATCATGTTAACTTACTGTTTATATAAGGACATCACCTTCAAAACTTAAGATTTATTTCTAAGTTCTTCACCAAAATGAATATATTGTTTTTGTGTTACTACTTGCGTATATAAGTAGTTATAAATGCAAGGCCAAACTATGTTAGCAATATTAACATTGTGGCCTAAAAGCTGATCAGTGTGGCAGGGACTCGTTTAGCTGCTAATATTTAATATATTTAATATTAAAGTCGTGATTCAAAATGAGATTTTAAGAAGAACCTTTGAGTTCTCCAAGGCTTCATCATTACCAGTCCTTTTGCTAATAACAGGAAAACTACCACTGATAGTATTTTACCATGTTATATTCAATCCTAACCACAACCTTCTATTCCCATTTTAGACAAGTGAACAGCTCAGCTCAGAAGAGTTAACCAAGTTGGCCAACATTACAAAATGAAAGCGGATACAGGATCCAAAGCCATGTCTTTTTGGCTCCAAATCCCGACCTCTTTCCTTCTCGAGTTGTGACTGCACCCAAACCCCCGACCAAATGAAACTACTAAACTATGCAACTCAAAATGTCAAGTCATACAGACATGCCACACAGGCTATTTCATACCTTTAATCCTCTGAGACTTCCTGGGCTAGTTGGAGAGGAACTGGAGGATTTCGTAGATTTAGGGGTGGAGAGCTGGCTGCTGGGAGTTCCATTAACTGACAGGAGACACAAAGGTGAGAGAGGTCATTGAAAACTCCAGACAACCAGACCGTGTCCAAACACTAAGCACATGCATGAAGCTTCCATTCATTTAAAGCTCAAAGCAGATGGCAAATCAGCAAAAAGCAAACGCAACGCATTGTACTGTATTGCAGACAAAGTATTAGACAAATAAGGAGTGGAGCTAGGATTATTTTCAATAATAGCTTTCCAACGGTGACATAGACAAAGATATAGAACATTATGGAACTAGAGATGAGACTTGAGAACTTGTCCATATATCCTGCCTACCAGCAAGGGTAGGGATGAATGACTGTTATCTTTGCAATGGTTTCCTATGAAGATTGTCTCATAACCCCCAATATCTGCTATCTTGAGATATATATATATATATATATATATATATATATATATATATATATATATATATATATATATATATCAGCCTGAATAACCAAGACTTTCTATGGCTCTCCGAAATCAGTTCCACCATAATCCAAACAGATTTTCTAAGTGCATTATTAATGGAAAAAGAAAATTAATGGTCATTTTCCTTGTAACATCTACTTATTTGTTTGAAGGCCATACAAAAACATTCTTCAACTTTCTTTTTATCTAGACTAGTTATTTCTAATTCATTTTCTTTTCTTCGCGGATTAACTTCCCCATCATTTAGCAAATTTGATGTTTAGGTGTTTTTTTTATACACCCTCCTCCAAACTTCCACATACTTCTCAGGCTTAAAGTTCAATTCAGAGCCTACGCTTGGAAGAGTGCGGCCACTGCTGCCACAGGGGAAGGCAGGTCACAGAGCCTACACTACAGAATGCTCGCTACACAGTTCCACATGACTCATGCTTATTCCTAACTGATTCCCCTGGATCTATGTCTGCTGTAATTTCACAGCTGGTAGTTAACATCAAATATTGGTGTAATTTTTTTTCTTTTCTAAGGAGAATTTATAACCCCTTTTATCATGAATCTTTGATGCTTTTGCCCAATGTAGATCAAAACGGCCATTTATCTCTATGGAAAGCAAAGCAAAGTGCATCTCCTTTTCTTAACATGAGAAAGCAGACACCTATTATTTTAAATGATGCTAATAAGTATAAAAAGCAAAATGCAGTCGTAAAGGTCCTGACTAGGTGATTTAAAAAGGTGAACACCAGCGCTAGCTGATTTGGCTCAGTGGATAGAGTGTCAGCCTGAAGACAGAAGGGTCTCGGGTTCAATTCCTGTCAAGGGCACATGCCTGGGTTGTGGGCTCTATCCCCAGTAGGGGGTGTGAAGGAGGCAGCCAATCAATGATTTTTTCACATCACTGATGTCTCTCTCTCCCTCTCCTCCCTTCCTCTCTAAATCAATAAAATATATATTTACAAAAAAACCCCAACCAATCAGATATAACAAACACAATAAAAAAAAAAAAAGATGAGCATGAGTCCTTGCGTGGAGATAGAAGTCCTGGGTCTGGTATTTGGGATTAGATAAATCCTATGTCCACAGGGGTTGATAGGGACCCATGAAGTCATGTTTGCTTATGTATGGCTCATTTTAAAAATTCAGTGAAGACCTGGCTGGGTGGCTCAGTTGGTTGGGGGGTCACCCTGTACACTGAAGGGTTGAAGGTTTGATCCCCAGTCAGGGCACATAACTAGGTTGTGGGTTCAATCTCTAGTTGGGGCATATACAGTAGGCAACCAATCAATATTTCTCTCTCACATAGATGACTGTCTGACTCTGTCTCTTTCTCGCTGTCTCTCTCTCTTTCTGAATCTCTTCTCCTCTCTCCCATCCCCTCTCTCTAAAAGTCAATGAACGTGTCCTCTGGTGAGGATTAAAAAAAATTCAGTGAAAATGAAAAATTGTTCTATTTACTTTTGAATTACCAAACTTTAACTTTTTTCTAATTTAAAACTACTCAAAATAATTATCAGTTATCTACATTTTCTTAATAAATGTATGTGGGTATATAGAGTGCAAGTACAAAACAAGTAACTGTCCAATTAATTAAAAACTTTTAAGAGTATTTACCAGCCCTGATTTTTTGCCAATGAAGTTAAATTTCAATTAATGTTATATCTTTTTAAAATTCTCTTTAAAGGGAACTGGTGGCAGGAATTCATATAAAATAGAGATGATTACGGACAACGAACTAGTCAAGTTGCTGTGAGCCTAGATCTTTTTTCCTACATACCACACAGCAATCTGTATCGGCCACCAGTTCTTACTCAGTAAGTGCTGTTAGCTCTCAGTAATATTCAGACACCACACTAATATCAAAGCTTTCCTTGGAATGGAGATAGAAAAGGGACTAAAGGAGAAAAAATAAATTCCTGCTAATGGTGATCTGTGTAGCAGACCAATCTCCCTAACAGTACATCCCCGGCCTAAACAGGGTTTCTTAAGGAAACTCACTGCCAGGGTTTAACTGCTGTCAGTACCGACATGTCCACATTTCCCCCCAAATAACTCTCATCCTAAAGAGACACTGTCACATGGAGCCTCTAAATTCCTGATAGCATTTGGAAGGTTCTAATGAGCAGTCCTTAGTATCATTTACTTGCACATCTGTCCAGTCTTTGGGAGGGGAAGTGGGACGTGGGGCAGGGCTCCACGGTGCCTTCTCCCTGACACTGCCGCCGCCCACTGGGAGGTGCGCAAGGATGAGCGGCATTGTGATGCTCCCACACCTTCATTACGCCCCTGATTCTCTCCCAAAGTGAGGTTTCTATCCGCCCCTCCCTCAACTTCAGGTAAGAAATAAACTTGGGGACTTTACTGTTTGCTTGTTTTCTCTGAATACTTTCAAAAATATTGGTCAATTATGAAAGCATCACAAGCTGGAAACCTAAAGGGAGAATTATGAAGGCTCCAATTATGGTAACTATTACCCACTTAGGTTTTCCAGATTAATTTCTATGTGCTTCTTACACACTATTTTGCTATTACAATAAATTGGAGTTTGGATGAGGAATGCAGTCAACCACAACACTCATGGGAATATTTCTGTCCCAAGATTGAAAAAGTACAATATTATTTTTACAAAGTCACTAGCTCTGTTTGAAATTCCAAGTAGTCCCCTGGAGTTTTTTAAATGGTTAAGAGGTAGGCCACAGTTGAAGCAGTTTATAAAAGCAAGTTACACTTCTGGGTACTGTGGCTTTTAATAATACAAAAACTCTTTCCTTGCTGGAAGTGGGGAAGAGAACACAATATTAGTAAATACAGACCTATTTGTTGGTCAGTTTATTTTGTTCATGAGATTCCACATATAAGTAAGATCATGTGATGATTTTTCTTTCTCTGACTGACTGGCTTATTTCACGTAACATAATAATCTCCAGGTCCAGCGTTGCGACATTCTTTTGAGTTAATAAAGCTATTGTAATAATCATAACTTGCATATCTTTCTCCATATGAACAACTGTAAACCTACTTTTGCCTATCTCCGCTTAGCAACTTTCTTCAGAATCACAGTGAAGTCCCAGCAACTGTCTGGGGTCTCAGTTTTCTAGAACTGCATTGTGTGGTGAGGTTGATCTCTTAGAAAGAAGCTGCTTGCTCCCTGAAAGGTGATTTTAAAATCTCACACCTGCCCTGCCGGCGTGGCTCAGTGGTTGAGTGTCGACCTATAAACCAGGAGGTCACGGTTTGATTCCACAGTCAGGGCACATGCTTGGGTTGCAGGCTTGATCCCCAGTGTGGGGCGTGCAGGAGGCCGCCCATCAATGATTCTCTCTCATCATTGAAGTTTCTCTCTCTCCCCTCTCTCTTCCTCTCTGAGATCAATAAAAATGTATTTTTAAAAAAAATCTCACACCTTTTACTTATGTAAGATCTATTCTATTAACCCAAATCCAAACATGGACTCAGTTAAAAATTGGGGGTCCTGGAATGCGATGATTCGTGAATCAATTACTAAGCATTCCAAATTCAATTCAATGTAAAAAGATGTATGCATTTATTAGACTACTAGAGGCCTGGTGCATGGATTCATGCACCTGTGGGGTCCCTCGGCCTGGCCTACAGCCTTTTGCAATCCGGGACCCCATCAGTGCAAGACTGGGGCCAGGGAGGGCTCCAGGATGTATCTGGCCCGTCTCACCCAGTCCCAATTGGGGCCGATGGGGCTGGCCAGTTGGGAAGGGGCCACAGGAGGTTGGCTGGCTGATGAGGGATCGAGGGAGGGTTCCAGGGTGTGTCCGGCCCGTCTCACCCAGTCCCGATCGGCCGAACCTGAGCAGCAAGCTAATCTACCGGTTGGAGAGTCTTCCCCCTGGTGGTCAGTGTGCGTCATAGCTACTGTCAATCGGCCGACTGGTCAAATGGTCGACCAGGTGCTTAGGCTTTTATATATATAGAAGATGTTATGAAGCAGTTGGTCTGAAAGACAAATGTGGCTATGAAACATGCTTTCAGTTCAGTATGTTAATTTCCCTCTTTCGACCTCAGGGAGACAAAATTGGAATCATCATTAATACCTGATTCTTGAAACACTCGCCCCACTTTTATTTGTTATTTTACTAAAGGATAAGCACCTGTAACCCTATCACTAAACGAAAGCTAAGAACCTGACAAAAATCTACATCTTCCATAAGATAAGCTCAGTTCAGCGCATTTATGCAAATTTCCTACTATGTTAGCTTTCCCAGTGTGAGATACTTACAGAAAGCATCGTATAAGCTTAACAGCAGAAAGGTGCTTTCAGTTAAAAATACTCATATTTGTCTACACTTTTCAGAAGAGAAAGCAAGCATTGAGCCTATTAAGCTCAAGGTAGGCATGAAGGTGACAATAGAATAGTACAATTGTGTCTGTGGCCATTTTCACATTACCAACAAACTTTAGTCTTTTTCAATAGAATATTTTCCAAATTTGACTAGCAACTAACTCCTCCATCACTTAGGACTGTGACTACACACAGACAGGCACTTGGCGACCTTCTGACAACGACCGGTTCTCCTGTAGGGAAGGGAGGCTGAAGCGCCCTCCGTACTGTGAAGCATTGCGTACTGCACAGAGGCACACTGGGACCAGCCAGATAGTCATGGAAATGGAGCAAAGGAAACAGAAATGTGGCAAACAACAACAACAGAAACTCAGCTGAGTGACAAAGCCATACTAACCATGGCTCACCTGGGGATTTGGCTGTAGAGTAGGCACTGGAGTAGGGGCCACCCCTCTTTACTGTGCACATTCAGTATACACAGAGGAGGAGGAGGAGACAGTAAGGAGAGCAGTTATTCAGCAGGTTTAAACTTGCACACAAACAGAAGGGTGAATCAACCTAGCCCAGAGAAAGTGGGGTGGGTGCTGAAGGGGGAAGCAGTGAACAGGAAAACGGACCCCAAATGCAGTATTTTATAAAAAGTTGGATGCTTGAGACAGTTGTTGATTCTACTTTCACATGTTCTAGATTGCCACATGAAATCATGGTTTTTCACAAGCCTTTCCCAAGGGTGGGTAATGTCCAGCCCACGGGACGCATAAGGCCCGAGAAATCATTTGGCCTGGCCCTGCCAAGGCATTAAGGGTGAGTTAACTGAAATGTTTGAACAAATATAGCAGGCTAATTTTTAAGTTTATAATTTTATATGGCCTGAGAATTACATTATAAAGATCCAAATGGCCCTTGGCAGAAAAAAAGATTCCCTGCCCCTGGTAATATCAGCTAAGTTATTCATGATTATACTATAAACAAAGCTTGTAGGATTGATACATCAAGAAGTTTATGGACGTTTTTACATTTTTTAAATGCCAAAAGGCTCAAAATGATGACAAATCTATAGGCATAGGGCCCGAGAGAAGCTGAAGTACAGTTAAGTCTGACTCTTAAGTAAGTAAAGCACTTCTTTCCAAGAAGAATCGCGGCTACTATTAAATTGCTTGATGAAGGAAAAGCCTGTGGAAACCTATCGAGTAAATACATTGTTATGCTAGATGTGTGTATGTGTAAGGTTTAAATTGGCAAGAGAAGAAAATGTCCACAACCATATAGCACAACATTTAAAATGCAAATATGGTCAAATGTGACACTTCTACATACATATCAAGGAGAAGAATTGAGCTAATAAGATTGTTCTAAAAAAATGTGTCAGAACAAAACAAGCCAGTTTCTTAGACAACTTACTACAACTTTGAGAAACAGACTTCAACTTTTGGTTTTAAAAATCATGTCATCTATGTGCTGTTCTGGAACCTGGCTGCATACAAGCAGTGGAAAGACCAAGGATTCATAATCATTGAAGAAAACAAAAGGAGAGTGAGATGCTGCTCCTGTGGCCATCATTCCTCTCCCATCCACTACCTGAGGCTGGTGACTTGCTGCGACGAGAGGGCCCAGGGCTCTTGGATCCAGAGTACTTAGCTGAGGAGCGAGAATACGATGACTTCAAGACACGGCATTCTAGAAAGGAAGCAAAGTGCATTAAATAGATCTGGTGTTAATACTAATCCGAGGAAGGTCACATGGGAAAGCAGTTGCCTGCCTGGAACCATTACCTGATCATTTTTTTATTACCATCCGAAAAGTACACCTTGAGGCTACACATCTGTAACATCACCTCATTATTCCAGATGGACACAGACAGCCCAGTGTCCTAACTTGATACACACACAAATCCTAATCTAAACATGTGCAACGGTGTTTAGACCGCAGCATGGACAGGCAGAAGCTACACTTTTATTATTCTTTCCAAATCTTGAACATATGTTGAAAGGGTATGCAGAACCCTAATTTATGAACCCCTTCCTGTCCCATCTTTCTAATGTGTGGAGCACGAAACTGGAGGAAACTAACTTTAAACGGTAACTTTGGTCTTCCCATAAATAGCCAAATAACGTGTAAGGTATTAGAGCTAAAGTAAGCAGTTCTAATTGGAATAATTAAGAACATGGCTTTTACATTCATGGCAGATTTTGGATGAAGCATGGATTTGACTTGGTCAACTAGGGGACTTTAGTTAGACTCTAAACCTCATTTTTCCCCCCTCGAAATGGCATAAAAATAAAATCTGCATCACAGGATTGTTCTAAGGATTAAATTAGATAACATACTGTCTGTAATTTACATTAAAATATTTCAATTTATGTAAGATGATTGAAACGTGGGTTAGCTTTAATGGATACCCCAGGGACAATAAATTAACATGTGAAATACACTAATCAGGCAAATACACACCGGGGGACAATGGGTAGCATTTGAAAGATTCCAATCAAAACCTCGCAGGGAGGGGGCTGTAGCAATTTCAGCTCAGTTAATCAGCATTATGGATGTTACTCAGTATTCCACCATGGAAGGGAGTGGTGTGTGAATGAGTTTGAAACATCTTAAAGGCACTGCCACTCTTATGAGCAGGATATCTCAACCTACAGAGCCAGTAAGAGAAGCTCAGAATTACAGCCCAGGATTAGGAATCTGAGTCCTGCTTCCAGCTCTGAGGGTTGTGTTACTTGACTAACACTAGGTTAACTGATGTTAATGCAAGACTTTGTCAGGAATCTAAAAGGACTAGCAGTTGGGACTTCATCAATATTACAACCCAAGTTAAATGACTGACTTTGAAAAAAACGTTGCCTCCTAATAAGTGTACCTGTGGGAGAATTAGGTCTGAGACCTGCTTTCATTGAAAAATTTTGTGACCTGATGGTGGTGGTATAATAACAACATGAACAACGGCATAGCACATGCTATGTAACCACGTACCCTTCTAATTGCTTTATATGTGGACTCATTTAATCCTCACAGAATCTTGTGAAAAGGCCACTGTTATCATCCCTAGTGTGCAGAAGATTCAGGAATTAGCCATTGAGAGGGAAGCTATCAGTAGCTTCCACTTCTCTCTAATGAGTCTATCTGTAGCTGAAGCTACCAATGATCCAACTAGCTTAGGAAAGTTTACAGCATACATGTCAACGGAGTACAACGCCGGCACGTATACAGCAAGTGCTCAATACATGTTTCGTTATTGTTGTTTTTGCTGTTACCCAAATTAACTTTGTAACCTAGAGCATAGCATTGAGTTTCAGTGTCTCAACTTTCAAAATGACCAAGATGGACATCAAAGAAGTACTGGGAAACAAAATTATGCTAACATCAAGAAAGATGTAAAGCCAAAACTGGTTTGGCTCAGTGGATAGAGCGTCGGCCTGTGGACTGAAGGGTCCCGGGTTCGATTCCGGTCAAGGGCATGTACTTGGGTTGCGGGCACATCCCCAGTAGGAGATGTGCAGGAGGCAGCTGGTCGATGTTTCTCTCTCATCGATGTTTCTAACTCTCTGTCTCTCTCCCTTCCTCTCTGTAAAAAATCAATAAAATATATTTTAAAAAAAAAAAGAAAGATGTAAAATACAGATGACATGTAAATGCATATTTTGTGCAACCTTAATCATTCCTGAGAATCAGGGAGAACATTACATGGGTCATAGGAAAGGACATCACCTGCAATTCTTTAAGGACTTGGCAGTCATATTATCAGTTTAAAGCAGGGCCAGTCCAAGAGACTAAGTAATACAGTACAGAAACACTCAAAGAAGTTTGGCAGCAGTGAAAGATACAACAGGAAAACAAAGAGGACATCAATGAACCCCAAGCACAAGGTAGATAAATTACCCCAAGGCAACTGTGAAGGGGGAGGACGAGGCAGAGGGGATTACATAGGAAGTTTGGTTCTACAGAATGGACCACCCTGAATTTTTAAAAGTCAATGGATCGTCGTATTTATTTGGTAATATGTTTCTCTAATTCTGGACTGTCAGAATCACTACAAATGGAAGGAGTCCCCCTGAGTCTAATTTTTGAAAAACTTCCCTCATTCATGAACTTAAAGAGTGAGATTGTATTTCTAATAACCCTCTCCTTCGTGACATGTTATGCCTGTATGATTTTACCTTGTTACAGATGAAATTGATTTCACTGGTGGAAATAATCACTATTACTGTAATAGGTTTAAATTTAAAGCAATATTTCCAGAAACTATAACATTGGAAATAACCAAGGTTATTGATAATTAATTGAAAACTCCATCTATTGGCTAAAATGAAAAAAACTATCTTGCCCCATCAATGAAAATTGCATTATTTCCCTACATATATAAACAATACATGTCACTGCTTTTCTAAAGTTACAAACAAAACAGTAAGGTAAAAATCATTAACAACAACTTAGTTGTTATTATTTTTGTATCTCTTTATGGACACTGGAAATGTACAACTAACTGTTTCAAGTTCAACACTTTCCATACAATTAAGGTAGCACAACTAGCCTCCATTCTGAAAGAGGGCAGGAAATTCATTTCTAAGGCAAAACAATGCAGTAAAGAGATAGAACAAAATTGCTAAAAATGAAAATTACTTAACTATTGACTTGGGGTTAGTTGTGTGTGTTTTGTTTTCACAACTAGGTAAATACTTTGATTTTATTCTCTACTTCCATTAATTCAAAGATAGTGCTGCCAATGCCATCTTTCTTCAAAGATGGGCTAAGGACCACTTAACATGCCCCAAGCGCAGTACTACATCCCAAACCCCTGTTTCAGGGTTACAGAGGTGGTCCAGGAACTGCCTTACCGCTGTGATCCAGGACAAAGTCATCTTGGGCATAACGGAATTTTTCAGGTCCACATGCAATAAAAACATCATCATCACCAAAAAAGTCTTGCAGGCAAGTAACCTAGAAAAAAAATCACATCCAAGAAACAAATTAGAAATGTTAGAAGTGAAGTAAAAAGTCAGCAAAATTAAATACATTTTTTTAGGTGGGACATGCTTTATTATGAACAAAGCAGCCCAAATTAAATACATTTTTATGCCTCACTTATAATATTGAGTTGGAATGAAAAGCTGTTTGGTATCACATTTCGAAGAATTTTGCTCTTCACAAGGTGCTTTCAGAGTGTCTCCTGACCTCAGAACACCAGAATGAGGTGGTCACAGCCAGGACCAATATTCCTGTCTACCCGTGAGGTCAAGGACGCACACACAAGGTAGAGCGATGTTTTCCAGGTTTCTGATTAATGGGCGGCAAAGCTGGGGTGGATGGGGTCTCTGCTCTTGGTTTAGTCTCTTTACTACCTACCCTTTCTCACTCTCCCAGCAGCTCCGCCTCCGAGCATGGCACCCTGGCCATGACTCTCTGTACCTCCGGTAGAGTGAACCTTTGGGTATTTGGGGGATTCATGTATGAAAACTGCTTGGAAAGGTACAGGATTCCCCCTTTATCTGCAGGGGGTGGGGGTGGGGGAGGGGTACTGGGGAGGGGTACGGGGGAGGGTTACGTTTCAAGACCCTTCAGTGGAGGCCTGAAACCTTGGATTGTAGTACCAAACTCTATACATACACACCCTTTCAGTTAAAGGAAGCGCTATGCCTTCTCTTTGGCATATCTAAATTGGCAGCATCACTACCTTCATGCCTTGGGTTCATGATTAAGTAAAACGAGGGTGACCTGAACACAGCACTGCCATACCAGGACATTAAGGGGTTCCTAAATCCCAGTATTCACTGTTCCCCTAGTTTTGGTCATCACTGTTCTCACAGGTGTGGAAAGAAAGATTACAATGTTATGTTCTGTCTCAAAGGTACCAGGGCCACTGGGGGGCTTCCTTCATTGACAAGACAATGCTCCTTCTTAGGGCACCCAGGAGGGACCCGCCAGACCTCCAGACCTCTCCCCTCTCCCCCACTCTTGACTTTGCCATTTCTCCTGCATCATTACTTCCACCTCAGCCACATCAACACTACCTTGTGTTCCCTATCTGCACAGTGCTGGTGTTTCTTTTTTTGTGAAACTGCTTTATTGAGACATAATTCACGTACCATACAATTTGCTCATTTAAAGTATACAACGTGCTGGTTTTAGTATATTCAGAGTTCTGCAACCATCAGCACAACCTATTAGAGTATTTTCATCACCTAAAAAGCAATCCCATGTCCATTAACAGTCACTCTCCAGGCCTCCCTCTCCTCATCCCTAGGCACCCATAAAATCCTTTCTGTCTATGGATTTGCCTACTTCAGACATTTCCTATGAACGAAACCATATAACATATGGCATTTTGCAACCGGTTTCTTTCACATAGCGTGTTTACAAGGTTGGAGCACATATCAGTACTTCATTCCTTTCAATGGCTGAATGAGTAAATACTCGGTTACATGTATATAGAGCACTGTGTTTATCCAGTCCTGTTTATGGATGACATTTGGGTCATGTCTACCTCAGTGCTGGCTCTTGCCACTGTATTTCTGCTCCTGCTGATCCTCAGCCAGAGTTGCCTTTCTGACCACCCTTTAGTGCCATGACCTCCAGATGGGCACATATACTTCCTGGTCATCATTTCCTAGGCTCTAGGAGAGTGCTAGCTTTGCTGAATGCTCAGTACATTTTTGTTGATGGAACTGTGGCTTGGTATGGAGTTGTTCCTATTGGAATTGAGTTCACAGACACAGAATAACTTCTCTGGGGTGGGTGGTGCCACAGATGCCATCTACTTTGCCATCTCCACCACCATGTAATGCAGTTATTTATTTCCTGTGGTTGAATTTCACACGTATATGGGACTACATGTTTCATTGTTGCTAGCAGTGCCCCAATCTCAGTTGATAATTTTTAAAGTGAAAACATCTAATAAAATGCCCAGGGTGTAATGTAAGTTAAGATAACTCTCTCTCCCCAATGGGAGCCACATTAATTTAGTGCTGTATATGCATTCTAACTTTGATCAAGTACCAGCTATATGCCAGGCATAAACAGAAGACAAGAAGCACACAGTCTAGTCATGGAGATGGACAAGAAAATTAATAATTACAGTGCAAAATGTTACACTAGGAGGATGCTATAATAGAACATTTGCTATGAAATATGGAAGTACAAAGAATAAATAACAATGAAAATAGCACCCCATAAAATAAAATATTCAATAGCTAAGACTAGGAGGGTAGGGGAGGTCAATGGGGAAAAAAAGGAGACATATGTACTACTATTTGTAATACTTTAAACAAGAAAATAAAATTTTAAAAAAATAGCTAAGACTATTTCATATGTTTGGACACTCAAATAATTCTATCTTAAAACGTATTTCTTATTCTTTAACTCTGGTGGTCTGTTTGTTCCTTTTATCATAAAATTTTAAAAAACCGAGATGTAACCTTGAGTTAGGGGCCATGTCACTACATCTGACTCGGAAAAAAAAATAGCATTACCATGAATAATATCTCAAAGCCATTTTTAACAAGGGTAAGGAAAAGGGTATCAGTTTAGAAGACCTCCTGTTTGCTTTTAATTCCTTCTTCAATGCAAGAAGCTCTTCAGGGATAATGGGTGCTATGTGGCTTATAAGAGAAAGCTACACAAATAAGGGGAAAGTAATATTTCTGCTAAGGTACGAAATTAAAGCAATCAGCAGTATCTAATTGGAGACGTCCAACTGAGAAATAATGTATCTATGGGAGCATATCTAAGCTCTCCAAATGAATGTGGGCCGTTTAAAAAACAGTAATTTTTCGGTCCTTCAGTAGACAGATTAATTAGGTCAAGGGGAATAGGTGGCAGCCATAATTTCAGTGCTAGTTCTAAACAGATTGCCACAACCACTTTTCTTTTTCTTTCCCTATTTGGTCTCTATTAAAGGATATCGAGACGGATACAGAGACTTAAAATACTATGCACATACTAGGAATATAGAAAATCTTCCCCTCAAAATAAAAAAGGTGGAAGACACAGGATTGCCATCTTCCCCGCACGCTGCATTGTGAACCAGAGGAGGTCTCCATTTCCCGAGCCATTGGTGCTCTTTGGAAAGCGTGTTATTTCTTTCCCTTTCCAGAGTGACAAAGGAGAGGATGGGAAAGCAGGTTGGCTTTCTCTAAAGAGCTCTTCTTCCTACAAAATTCTGAAGTCTATTTTTGTTTCTAAGGAAAGCTTACATATTTATATTTTTGGAGACTTCTTTTGGAAAAGTGGAGTGCACTCTTCTGGAGAGGGAAGAAAAGGAACACTATTTTAAGTAGGTAAACAGTATTGTCCACTTGGGACTTATTTCTGTTCAAGTTCAGTCAAAAAAATCTTCATGCCCTCCACATCCAGGTGTTCCTTCAAAGCTCTGTAATTTGTCCAACATAGACATTACCATTGAGATAATGGTCTGGTTTTGTGTCCAGATGTCTCAGCGGAGCTGCATACATACAGGATCCTTGTCTAGCACATCACTATAATTCTAGCAGAGTACATGGCACCTAACATGCAGGCTTTGTTAAATACATTTCTGTTGAAATAAAAAAATGCTTTGAGTCCCTCTTCCTGTAGGGCAGCGGTTCTCAACCTGTGGGTCGCGACCCCTTTGGGGGTTGAATGACCCTTTCACAGGGGTCGCCTAAGACCATCGGAAAACACATATATAATTACATATTGTTTTTGTGATTAATCACTATGCTTTAATTATATTCAATTTGTAACAATGAAATTGGGGGTCACCACATGAGGAACTGTATTAAAGGCTCTCGGCATTAGGAAGTTTGAGAACCACTGCTCTAGGGAACCCTCTCTAGAGGAGACATCTACACTCTTTCTGTGAATTCCTGTCAACCCATGCAAGGCAGTCCTTGTTATAGGACGTATGATGTTGGCTTTCTAAGCCAAGGTAATCTATAAGCTCCTTGAACACACCAGTCACATCCCATAGCTCCTTAAAGAAGTTATTCCGCAAATAGTTGATCAAATTTTGGCTCTAGAGTAACTTTCTAAAAACTTATCTTAGATGACGTAAGCTCTAATTGAGGAATTAAATGTCTTTCATCATTATTTCAGGGTGATTTGAGAAAAAGATACTTGTGAAATCTACTACTACAACCATTCAATAGAGGGGATTCAAAGCAAAGTAAGTTGCTATTCAACCTTCCATTTGTTGGAATTCAGAGACCTGAGGTTGTATTTAATAACGAGCTCCTGAGGTACTTTCCAAGCGTATTTGGTTTAACAGTCCAAGATCTGATAAAAATGCAAAAGAAACATCATTGGATCTCAGTGAGAGACTAGCTTAAACTGGCATCAACTTATCTAAATATAGTCAGGGTCAAAATCTTATCACCCTTGAAATGTCTAGCTCATAGAACAAGGACCACATTTTGTAGAAAAAAAATAATGTTAATAATGGGTATCAGAAGTATAAAATGCACCTTGGAAATTTTTAATAGATTTTCTTTCATTTTAACTGTGTGTGTGTGTGTGTGTGTGTGTGTGTGTGTGTGTGAGAGAGAGAGAGAGAGAGAGAGAGAGAGAGAGAGAGAGATGAAAGTCCATATCTCCCATTGAAATTAAATGCTTTCATCATTCAGCTTTAAAGGGCTGTGGCTACTGAAGAGTAATTAAACAAACAAAAAAAATTTTCTAGCTCACTTCTAAAGAGGATTTGAAGGAGCTCAGAAAAGAAGTCTAGTAAGTGGCTTATATTTGAAATTAAAATTATTACATAAGCTTTTAATGGAACTGCATTAATATCCTTATTGTTTCTTCCTAAGAATGGTCACGTAACAAGTCATAAATTGTCAAAAGGGAACTGCACTTAATTTTGAACTCCTCCCAAAGGCTTCTCTACCATACATAATTTTTCCATCATGCAAACAAATAGAAATACAGCGTTTAAAGATGTAAAGAAAATCCAAATGACAATTTTAACA